AAAGTATTTAAGAAATTTACATAATTTCTAATTTCGAGCTTAATTCAAGATTTAATTTTCTTAAGTTCAAGATTGATTTGCCCGTGTCCTCGAAAAATGAACCAAATCATCATCGGTTGAACTCCTCAATTTTGCGAGAAGCGAAATCGATTTCCATCCGCGTAAAAAAAGGAAAACTTCACCGACGTGTTCGCGTCTGCACGGAGCTCGCGTAGAGAAAAATTATCGTAATCGCACGCGGCATCGTCATCGCGAATTATATTACATGTCGAGTACACATCAAGTATATCGAGGTTAGCTATTACATTACAAATATATCACTTTGTCGATGGAGCACGAAGACGAAGAAGACAACAAAAGGAAGCCTTTGACCGTCGGCTTTCGCCCGCCGCGTCGTTGCATTCTTTGGTTTTTATTCTTTCTCATTTTCTTCTTTTTGGTTTCATATCCATTATCACAAGTTAGTCTCACTATCGTAGCGCAGAAACCATCGTCGAACGTGCTGGTGAACCGTAGTAGAGATCGCGCGCGATCACATTTCACTACATTTTCTCTTGTCTCTCCATAATTGACGCGTCTTGTTGGGCCGGCGGCGATGGATAGATGCGGTCCTTTTTTTTCTTTCTCTCCTTTTTCTTCATCTCAGTAGGAGTTCTTCAGCAGTTTCATCTGACGCTCGTACTCCTCGAGAGCAGAACGATTTTTCATTCGACAACGATCAGCTGAGAGTGGAACGCAGGCGTTGTTGCGAACTCGAGGTATGATCTTGCATATGACGAACGATCGAATATTTCAAAATTTGGATTATAATTTGTGCGTCGAAATTAGTTTAACAGCGCCATTAAGCAAGGATTATTGTCATTATTTCCTTGCGGCTTCACGAATCGGAAGTGAGCGACGAGAATTTCTGTCTTTCGAAGCGTTGTCAGAGAGAAAATAATTAATCCGTAAATACATGCAGCTATTCGTTCTTCGCGCTCTATATATAATGTCTTGCTGATCAGCGCACACCGAGAGAACTGCGTTCAACCGAGTGCATCTAGATATTATTTTATCCTTGTTTTAACATTTAGTGAATAACAAGGATAAAATGATATATCCAAAATTCCTGAACGCACTCTTGTTCTCCTCATCATTATTATATATCAACGTATTATTTGTAACGCGTGCGTGACATATTTTTTACTTGTATAATTTAGTAAGATCAATTCTCGAGTCGCCCTGCAACGGCCGCGGCACGTCAACGCGCGGAGGGACGCGTCGGAGAGAAAGAGGCACGTCGTTGCGGTGCTCTTCGGCTCCGAGGAGGCCGAGGCGAGTGAGCCGAGTTGCGATCGCGTTAGCGCTGGTGAATATGCGTGGTGAGATGCTTGGAGAGATAGTCAGCCCGGGCGAAGCATTTGCCGCACATCTCGCAATGATACGGACGCTCGCCGGTGTGGATGCGCAGGTGCCTCGTCAGGTCGCTCTTGCCTCCGAAGGCGCGACCGCAAAACAGACAGACGAACGGCCGTTCGCCAGTATGCTTGCGCACGTGCAGCTTCAGATTTTCCTTGGACCTCACGCACTTGCCGCAGAACGGGCAGGCAAAGCGTCGCTCGCGACGATCGGCCTCGCGAGTGACGCTCCGCGCGAGATCGATCATCGCCTCGCTCGGCTCGTGCCGATCGTCGTCAACAACGTTGTCGTCCACATCGCCAGCTTCGCTGCTGGTACCACCGCCACCGCCGCCAATCCCGCCGGTTCCGGTGGCAGTGGTCTCCGTCATCTGTACCTCCACCGCGTCGCCAGGGTTCTCTTGAACGCTCGCGGTCTCGGAGACGCTCTCGTCACCGCGAGCGCTCTCAGAGAATACACCACGCATCTCCTCGGCGTCGCCCGGATTCGTGGTGGTATCGCTGCCGGTCTCCACCTGGGACGGCTCGCCGGTGCTCGAGACCTGATCGCTGCGCTCGGCCGGTGCCGAGACGACGACTACGCTGTTCTGAGATTCGGGTGCGCGCTGCAACCGCTCAAGCGCGTGGTTGAGGCGGTGCTTCTTAAAGGACTTTAGATACCTGAACTGCATGCCGCATACATCGCAGGTGAAGAGCTTGTCAGCTGGCAGCCGCGCGCGATGGTTCTGCTCGCGATGTTTGACGTAGGCGGACCGATAGCGATAGTTGCACCAAGGCGGCCCGCTCCAGCAGCCACGGCGACGGGAACGTCGCCAGGCAGACGCCACAGCGACGCACTAGTCCGGCTAGCCCGGTGAAACCGCCGTGCCCGAGGATGGTGCTGCCGGTGCCTCCGTGGGCGCTCGTCCGCTCCACCAGGGCGCCCCATCCACCCGCGTCCAGTCCGAGGGCGAGCGAGACCTGCAACAGGGGAGGAAATTACGTCGTACGATGTTGCGCGATATCGTTGATATGACAGCATAACTTGAATCTTGAGCTTCGAACCCGAGCATCTCGATTGTGCGAACTGTGCGATTCCTCGATACCGAAGATTGTGATTAACTCTGAATTTAGACTTTTAGACAAAATCAGACTTATTTCAATAATTCCATATGATATATAATTTGAATTTTATTTTATTGAAAAAAAATTCAACTCCTTTTGAACTTTGTCATTTGTCTCGCGAACGTTCGAATGGCGCGTCGCAGCGGATGTCTCGGGCGGGTATTGTTTCACGCTCGAATGGAAGATTATGAACTGTACACTTACCCTTTGTATCACGCGGATGCGGCTTATGATAGCGATAAACAATCCCTACGGCATAATATCGCTCTGGGTTTCACGCGAGATTGGATACACGGCGGGGATTGCGGTTGCGCAGCAGAGGCAGGCAAGAACACACACATCGTACGCACGTGACGTATTGTTAACACAAACAGTTTGCAGCTTTTATTTCACAAATTGTTAATTTACAACTATGATATGCATTCGTTCGTCTAAGAATCGAAACAAACCAGTTTTTTTTAATTTACTTCTCTTTTTTTTTACGCCAAGCCAAATCAGTTGTGGCTATCCGCTATGATCGGAACGTTCAGAACGCATTGTCGATAGTGGAGTTTTACGGACGAGAGTAAGATTTTTTTTTCTGTCGGAGTAGGTTTTCCTGGTTTTCCTTCGTGAGTTTCTACGAGATTCCGAATTTTGCCAATTTTCTCCGAAACGTCCGATTCCTACCGACATACAGCTGAAATGCATACGTGTACACAGGCGTTCGCGCGTATTTGCATACAAACGCCGTTAAACCGAGACTCAATTGAGCTCACAAATCTCAGGACGCATTCGCAACGTGGCTCTACGATTTCATGGCTTTAATTAAAAATTTCGCGACATTCAATTTCGGATAATTTGAAATCGGACCTGTCAACAATCCATCTACCAAAACTTGCAGCACAGAACGAAACGTATCGGATGGACGGAAATGCTCTCGGATTATTCGCTCAGTCGCCTCCTCGGTCGCGTCCATCCGGTCCATCTTACACGTCTCTAATGTCCAAGTGAACGCTTGTACGAGTTGAACATAGTGACTCGGTTACAATGAGCTCGGGGACACAGCGCAATTTTATTTTTTTTTACAATATATATCCCTTTTTTTTACAATATATATCCTCACACGGTCGTTCGCAATAGCGATGAGGGCGCATGATGGTATTGAAATTTTTATATCTTATGATTTTCAATTCTTAAATAAATGATTCTTCTCAAGAAAAAATAAGTAGTTTAATTATATATTAAATATTTTAAAATTAACCTTTTTATTATCTCAAAAAAAAAAGAAATGTTTTCATGACAATTAACTTTTCGTTTTCACAAAGTAATAGGAAGAGAATTAATTTTGTCTGTTGCTAAATATATAAATACGAAGAAAATTCTAAATAAAGTAAATCTTATAAATTATTCTAATTTTTTTTTTGTGTCGAATTCTTTGTTGCGCTCATACTCAATAATTTAATAAATGGTACGGCAACGAGGACAAAAATATACTGCTAAAAAAATTGTGAGATGTAGACTCGATCGTCGCTCGTTCATTGCCTAATCACGTACGAAGGTGACATCACGTCGCTGTGCTATCGCGAACGGCCACGTAAAAATAAACTAGAATATCCAAAAACGAGACGCATTGGTCGGTTGGTCGGTAGTTTTTTTTTATTCCATCGCAAGCGAAGATCGCGCTTCGATAACTCACATACGTGTCCTATCGCAGCCCATAATATCTAAGATCAGCAAGGTCGCACTCGGGAGTTCCGAGTATCACGCGATATCGTACACGTACAAGGTGTTCGAAAAGCAGAGAAGAGCAAACAGTACAACCAGATTAAAAATATATTCATGTACTCGACAGTTGTAAGAGTATCTTGTCGATAAAAAACAAAATATTTAACTAATTACGTGTAAAAATATTAATTTAACATTTTTTATTAATATCATGATATTGGCGACCAAAAATATTTAGCTCGCAGTATTCTTTGCAACTATTCTTTTTCTTAGTGCATTTCTCAAATTTCGAAAAAATTTCAATAGACACGATTGCATAGTGAAAAGTTAATAATCTTGTTTAGGGATAAAATTGCAAAGAAATCAGGATTTGTGTTATAGTGTTAACGAAAAATGTTATACATTTTATATTGATATGCAATTTACATTTTATTTTCGGTGCTGTTTCGTCTCTTTTCTTCCCTCTTAAGTTTGATGAATTGACAATTTTGTCGATTGTTATTACCGTGAAAATTTAATGATCTCTAGAGTGCGACCAAGAAAATCTCGAAACAAGTGTGATTGAGATATTATATTAAATGTTTGATTGTGTCGCCTTTGTGACAAAAAAATTGAAGATACCTTTTTTTGGATTAAATTAAAACATCTTTCTCAAATGCGATTAAGAAATCTCAATGATGCCCTGCATAAATATCGAGAGCTTTTACATTTTCAAAACTTGATTTTCTTCCGAGCTATGACAAGCGCGAGTTATATTGCTCTTAATTTTCCGCGACAACTCGGTGTATCATCGGAATATCGAGTGCACATTGTCGAATGCATCGCGGAGAGATCGTAACGGCACCATTGGCGTTTGCGTTCCGTTTACAGCTCTCTCGTATCCGTTCTCGCAAAGTCCGATAATCGAATTACTAACGCCGCGAGATAGTTTCGAGAGTCTCGTCGCAAACAAACATTTTCTCGTCGGCGCTCAAATTCCGTCTCTCGCTCGCTTGAAGAACAACGTTTGCTTTTTTGCTGACAAACTATGTGTACACTACACATTTCCCTCTGTCTTTCAACTGCCCCTCTCTCTCTCTCTCTCTCTCTCTCATACATACGCACACATACAAACATGAGAATACACTCTCTCTGGTTCTCTCTCTTTCCTTCTTCTTTTTCTCTTTGTCTCTTTCTCTCCCTCTAATATTCGATAATCAAGCGAATGGGCGTGGGTGCTTAGTGTCGAGATGTGCTAAAGTGGAATGGCATTCGATTCCTTAAAGGTCCGGTTTCATTTGTTGTTACGCTTTAACAGCACGTTATTAAATCCTGGAAAAGCAAAATCTAAGACTCTGGTTGGCACAAAACGAAACGAGTAGTGGTTGCCGCGGGTACCGGCCGTGTCGCGTCACGCCGTGATAGACGGACGGACGGACGGACGAACGGAAACGCCGCAACGAGTCGTTACAAGTATGAAAAATATTCCGGTAACCATTAACACCGTTTAAAAAAGTTATTGCATCTGGGTAACCTATGTTGTATAGGTACACGTTTCTCTTTTATCGTATATTGTACAAATATTGTTGTAAGTCGGTAGTACAAACGTTACTGTAGAAAACATAACAATTCGTAGGTTTCGTATGTCTTTCGTATCGTTACGGAAAGCTTAAGTGTTATACAATCTGTTATTACTATATGCGAGATTTTTCGATCTACAGGGTGACTCCGAAAATATTGAACACTGTGTTGTCTCTGCGTGTGTATATGTGTGTGTGTGTGTGTATGTATGTGTGCGCGGCATCTCTCTTACCCTCTCTTTTCCATTCTCTGTATCTGTTGATTACCAGGGGAATCAAAAGCCGGGGAATTGCATGAAATTAGATCTCGTTGTAACCGAGCCTCGACAGACGGGTGTTACTTTCGTCGGCACTTCGGGAAAACGTTAATTTAATTGTAATGTTGAAAGAAAGAAAAAGCATTCGCTTTGTTCCATGTATACATATCGCTCCTTTATTTCAAAAGTAACGCAAATTAACAAACGTGACATATGAGTTATTATCAAACGAGACAAGTACAATTATTATTATCTATCAATTATTAAAAAAAAAAAATAACGTAAATTTATAAAAAATTATTGCGACTCAAAAAGATTTTTTAAAGGTTGCAAAACGAAAATGACATACATGTTCTGTTTGATCATGTTAAAGTTATATTCTTTTTAACGTATATATATTATTTAATTAATCAATTGTTTTCTGTAAAGTTGAAAAACAGATTTTTTTCCTTTTTTGAAGAAATTTAATTTTTGTAGTTGTCACTTTTAAAGTAAGGGAGCAATATGCAAAAAAGAAATATTTGCAAAATTTGCAGATAATTTATGCGATCTTCTTCGCACCGACTTTGCGACACGTGTTTCTTTCGTAAACGAAACTTTCTGTTAACGCGCGCGAAATGCACGTTCGCAGAAGAAAGTGACGCGGAAATGCATTCGTGGATCCCGGGCTATGTGCTTACTAAGTATCGCGATTATACAATGTTATTCCGTGAAAACAATGACGGAAACAGATGTGTCTTGGACGCGAAATATGCAGCGGGTGCACAATACGACCGACGTCCGACAATGTTGATAATTCTCGGTACCCTTTAGCCTTCGTTATATATCAGCGTTGGTATTTAGTCGACGACGTCTCAAAACTCGATGAGAAAATGTCGCGCTTCCAAAATATTTCAAAAAGTCAAGGCGCGTCTCAAATATCTTTAAGCGAATTACATTTCAAATATACATATTCCCCGAATATATGCGAATGCTAAATTTACTTTGAAAATGTTATACACTTTGCACGTAAATATATACATACATCACATTTACATGTTGCCGCGAGTTTAGCGTTTCGCATTGATATCCTACTCTCTTTTCTCTGATACACGATCGTGGCCTTCGACTGCATTTCGGGCAGAGAGATAACAAATTGTTTTGCGAACACTTTCGCACACGGACGCCACGGGATGAAAGATACCACGCGTACAGGTGAGAGATACCCCCCTACATTTGCACATCCACGCGCAAAGTACGCATCGTATACACGGTGCGGTAAATCGGTATTCATCAAACGCGGTTATCGAGCGTCGGCGAGAGCGTCGGCGAGCTGCACGCCCCGTAAGATATGACGTGTCGGGCGTACAACTTTTTTCTACACTTTTTTTTTACATGTACGTGGTGTACTTTGAAAAGCTCGGCCAGAGGGAGAAAGAGCGGCTTGACAAGGCTGAGCGTCGTAATCGGAAGGGATGGGAGGGGGTGCGAACGGGG